CATTGATGTAGGCAAAAAACACTACACGAACTTAACACCATACATGTGTACCACAAGTTTTTGTTTTTGTGAATGCAGGTTACAAATACCTAATTTAAAGGGTTTACTGGAAAGTAGGCCAATGATGAAGAGGATCAACTTACAACTGCTAATATGTATGTGGGGCAAAACACCAACATGAAGACACGAAAGCCACACATTTTTGGATAGCGACCGCGAGCAGTTTTTTTACGCGTGTATTTAGAATCACGTAAATACAACCTTACTGTATGTGCAGTGTCCGTCCCCGCACACACGCAGGATATCCCGCATTCTGAGGACTATAGGTAGGCTTGCTTCGGTCACAAATAATAGGACCACATGGATCACGTGATTAACTATCAGTGCATTTCTCCTGCACTAAAGCTCTGGGTGGTAACTGTATGAGTCGATGCTTATGGATAAACACGTCTAAAACAGTCCAACAAAAGTAGCAGACATTGGACCATGAGATGTAGCAGTGGAAATTCTTTTGCCTGACCTTCCCTTCTAAAAAAGTACTAGAATGCATGTTTCCCACATGTTATCATGCTGTACAAATCCTTTTGTACCAATCCCAGTATACAGTATAGCCAAAAACACAGTTACATACAGACTATGCATACATGCACAAGACTCTCAGGATCCTGTTTCCTAGGAGACAATTACAGCTGCACAACACCTACATGTCCTAGTATAAACTACTCCAAAATTTACTTTAAGTATGCAAAGAATGTCATAATTGATGGTCTGTTTTCTTATCTACATCCTACATGACTGTGATACTAATTACAGCTGCACACAATACATACCTAGATGTCCTGACATAGTATAAACTGGAAAATTATCATAACATCTATGCATGCACATCTTGACTAGTATAATATACAAAGAGAGTTGATTTTATACTGTGTGTACAAATAATTAAAAATACATTCATACATGTACACACAGACACACAGACCCAACTACTGTACCCTCGCTGCGCATGCAAAACACCATACTGTACTTTAACTCCATACACCATACATGTGTTTTTGTTCGCATCTGTGATAATAATTACAAAATATACTAATAATTACATGTAAAGTCAGAGCATGTAATTGCTGCATTGATAAAAGAAGGGACCACATCAATCACATAATTCAATGTGCATTTTTCAAACATGCACACTTGGGGAGATGTCATGGCTCATAACAAATTACATTTGTGTTCTTCAGCACATGTCGCTGTGTAAATGTGATTCACATGACCACATAGGCCGTTGCTTGAGAAATACGCAGTGCCTGAGTGCCTGCCCATGCACTATGCTCAACACACAACACTCTACACATACACACATAGGTGTATAATTATACTTGTAAATAACAAATGTAGCAGACATTGGACCATGAGATGCAGCTGTGGAAATCCTTTTGCCTGACCTTCCCTTCTAAAAATGTACTAGAATGCATGTTTCCTACTATTTATCATGCTGTACAAATCCTCTTACTATGTACCAGTCCCAGTATACAGCATATAGCAACAGTGTATATACATACAGACCATGCATACATGCACAAGAATCTCACAATACTGTTTCCTAGGAGACAAAATTACAGCTGCACACAACACCTACATGTCCTAGTATGCGTATAAACGGAAACATTTTTACAACATCTATGAATGTACATGTCAAGTAGTACTTGATTTTATACTGTCATATTATGCTAAAAATACATGCATACAGATAACATGAATGCTATACCATCCAACTCACCACTCAGTAGCTCAGATTTGATCTTGGTACAGTTGCAAACACATCCACTGCTCCCCACAGATGGTTGTTTACTGGCAGACCAGATGCTACCTTTATATGTGGAAAAGGAAGAGAGACGAGATAGGGATGGTATATAAGGAATGGTATACATAATTATGTACACATTGTGAGCATGCTGACACTCCCCGAGCCCGTTATGCTACCTTTTTCACGTGGCGTCTATCGATGAAGACATGAAGATCACCACTAGCAGTGAGAAGAAGTCCGACTCTTTGATGAGGTTTGAGATAGTAGAGATCAGGAAGACCTGAAGACAGCTCCCTCCCATTGTGCCATAATGATGTGCCCCCATAGTTCCACTCATGGGGTCCAGACTCATCCCATGGTAGGTAAGAAGGCACCACATCAGGTAGAGTGGCAGTCACTCCAACACGCTGAGAAAATATGTAATCACATAACATATCATGTACAAATAGTACTGTCACTGACTAGGAAAAATTAATTAGCAACTCTCAATAATGCAGAGAGAACCAGCATATTATGGAGAGACTTAATAACATTGACGTTAGGTAGTTACTAATTGAGAAAGAGACATGTGTGAATGCATATTATCATATATAAAGTATGTAAAAAGCAACGAGGTCGCAAGGTACCTAACAACACAACTACACATAGTATAATATTTCATTCTGATGTGAATAAGGAATCCTAGTGTGACATGTGACTGTAATGAATATCAGTTGACACACCCACTGTTACATACCATAATACACAGGATAAAGAGACATGTGCCTAAACAGTAGTAGACACAATCCTATCTTGTCACCTTAATTAATTCTAGACATGGAGAAGATCATTAGGACTTTGTAGGCTGTATGTAGTATGTATGGCAAAGTACTGGCTGCATGGAGTGTGTGTCTGTGTGTGCAGTGATCACAAACAGTTGCTCCCTCTCTCTCTAGAGGTACAGTGCAGTCAGATAGACTGGTGACCATGGAAGATCTAGGAGTGTGTCTGGAGTGACAACTAACACTAAGTCTCATTCCAGGCTCTGCCAATGATGAGAGAGACATGCACAACAAAGACACTTGTACATTTGCTCTACTGCAGAAACAACCTTAGTACGCACTCACATGTGAGAACTTGTTTATTAAAATATGTCGTAGAAACTCACATTAATTTTACTAAGGGCCGTTAATGAACACCACACAACAAAAAGTACGTAACAGTACAATTATACACTACACGACATGTTGTACACGAGAGTGGGACACCAGATGCCCAGCCTAGAGAACTGGGTGGTGGGTAGCTCATTCCCAAGGACCTCTCCTCTACCAAACAATAGAGTGAAGGAGAGGATGACATATTGTCCCACAAGGCTGTCATGTTCATAATTGGTAAGCAAGGTAAAGCCTATATACCTAGTCTTCTGAATTGGCCACAATACACTAAACAGATTCTCGGTTAACACTTTACTGAAAATGCATTCGTCAAGTCAGGCACTTTACGCATTAATACTTACAACAAAAATTGAACATGAGCTCAAAAGACATGATCACTCATATTAGATGAGGATCCTGCATACACAACACAATATGTTACAAACTGTAGCTGTCATAGTGGAGCTGTGTTTACTGGTCTTTGTATATAGGAGACTTGGTACACATCCACTCACCAGTCCAAAACTCCACCCAGTGGTAGTCTCGAGGACGGTGGTCTGCCACACCTGCCCTGGAGGCAGGGGATGGACTGTGTAACAGACACAATCACTCCAGTTCTCAGGATCTCGCCGCTGGACGATGGAGTTATCACTTGAAAACACTGCGTCTCTTTCCACACTTATTTCTATTGAGTGGAGCAGGAGTGGCGATCCAGTCAGAGACGTCCGCTGCCACCGACATCTCGATCGAGAGAGACGTGTGGGAGGTGAGGAGGGGCTTGCCCGATGTGCGCTAATTGGAAAAACTCGCGGAAACCGGGACACCAGACTATCATCTAATTGATGGATCAGAGGTTTTGCAATGTTTCACAAGACTTTTGACAACTTGTAGTGTTGTAGATTCATTTTTTCGTGACAAGTCAGAAAGGAATAGCCACCATGACAACTTGTAGTTCTTATCACTAGTGTTGTAGATTCATTTTTGCATAAAAAGTCAGAAAGGAATAGCCACCATGTGAAGTATCTATCATGGCCACAGTGTACATGCATACTGCACTGCACATCTGAAGGGACCACAAATGTCTTCAGTATGTGTTAATTATCATTGATTGATATCATGTGCAATTATAACAGTAAATGAGCAGTAGGCTTCTTCCCAGGCCACGCCTCTTTTGCATATTTCTTCTTCTTCGGTTCCGAGTCCGACAAATAGCGTCCCACGTCCTGGTTACCATAGAGACCTCCACCGCTGAATCCCATCAGTGGAGGAGGCTGCGGTTGCCGTGACCACGGACTTTGAACCGGTGGAGCTGCAAGAGAGAGAAATTATTTTGCGTTTTTGTGTCGTTATTATAATGTGTATAGCCAAGTAAATTTGTAACGGCCACATTCCACTTTTACTATAAACACCGTAATCTGAACAGCCTTTTGTACAGTGAACAGTGGATACCACGGAAAAGTGGAAACCACAGTTTTTACAGTTTTGTATTTCTCCTACATAATTATGTTTTCATCTCCGGTACTTTTGTCCTTTTTGTTCCACTACTGAATTCTTCCGTAGTGTCTGTGTACTGAGTTATAGACTACTGGACACACATACACATACCAGCAGTGATTGTTTTAGTGATGAGAGAGGAGGAGAACCCAAGAGTAGGAGACGTGACTTGAGACTCCGAGGGAGAGACGGGGTGAGGGGAGGAGGAAGAGGGAGGAATGCGCTCCGTAGAGGAGGGAGGGAGAGAGGTGAGGGAGGTAAGGGTGGTGGGGGTGGCTGGGTCGCTGGAGAGCCGTCTCTTCTTGCTAGGCAGGATGGTGGTCTGGACCATGTTACGGAACTTGCCAACGGTTGGGTCGATGTCCTCTGGAGAGACAGAGAGAGAAAAAGAGAGTCACATTAAGTTCTTCAATCAAGTTTGAGCAACGCATGGTGTACAATATTAAATGGAGGGTTATCCTCGTAGCAAGTGCCCAAAATGAGATCCCCAGTTCCTCTATATTATTTCCCAAAACCCACGCTCAAAACAAGTTTGGAAAAAGCACAAACACCAGCTGATAATCAGAGGTACTTACGCGAAGACTGGATGGAGGTACCAGACTTGCTCGGGGATCTGTCGAGGAATCTGATTGGTCCTCACCGGATGTTCGTACGGCTGTTTCTGGAACCCGAAATAGGAACCTCCGAACACGAGGGGGAAGGATATTCCAAACCACATGCACAGCAGAGCCAGCATGGTGGTGAATGGTACCTGCAGGGAGAAGTCATGTGATCAGTCATGTGATCTACTGTATCTATTCTACATACGAGAGTCACATGACTAAAACAATATCATCAGTAATACTCACTGCTCCAGAGAGCATATCACGTGACAGTCACATGACTAAAAGTGACATCATCACTCACGCTCCAGACGAGTGTTCTCCCCAGATGAAGAAGTTGAGGAAGAAGCCCATGCCAAAGAAGGTGGAGGGATAGAGAGTGGCCGTCAGAAGAGCTCCCTTCTTCCCAGTCGGAGCCTTTC